AATATTGCGTTCTTGAACATTTTGCTCGGAAAAAAGTGGAATACTTAGATAGACAATGATTGAAGACATTGTAATTCTTGACCTAATCTCTAATACTACGCAGATGACCTAAGGCTAAATCTTATTCCTGACCTTGACTCTCAGTTTTTAATGCAGTGCAATCTAACAGAAGCGCCTCAATGAGTTTCCTGACTTCAAATATGCATGTAGCAATTTGTACCCTACCAGCACCAGCTAATGTTTTCAGCGGAATGCATGGAAGCTACGGATAGCCGAACAATCGCCAATTTTTGCTATCTGCTACACGCGCATTGTATTTATTCAAGCTAAATTTAGTGATTGTCTTATTTAACAAAATTTCTACGCACTTTGTTTAAAAAAAACTGGGGACAGTAACTCTCTGAGCAGCATCTACAATAAAAAAAACATTAAAAAAAGTTTCTTCTTGGGCAAGCTTTACCGCCAAAGAATTTTTTTACGTATGATCCAACGAAGGTTTCCTTTTTTTTTTTTAATCTCTATGTGCTCCATTCATAGGCAGGCGTCAGCATAATGAATATAAAAGACAGGCTGATTGTTATTAAGCTGTCTACCGCAAGTTTACCAAGAGCACATACTAAAAGGCATCTTCAAAAGGGTCCATGTATTCTTCATGTATGAAGGGTACATTAGAAAGGGCACTACGTGACGTGTGAGTGGCTTACAATTCGTTGCGGCGCCATCGAAAATAAACACGCCAATGATGCCGTTCGGGCAGCTCTTGAAGGAACAGAGGAGGATGCATACCAATTTCAAGGTTTCACGTGGCCAGCAGTCTTCGAAGGCTTGCACTGGAGATCATGCCTTTTGTATGGTGCCCACCAAGCAGGCTGACCAACCAGACCGATCGTCAGCACCACTCGGGTTCCTTGATGAATCTCTATATATCATCTGGACTGCGCTGAAGTGATGTCACGGTTAGGGTTGACAATTAGCAATTATTATTTCTTTCACATTGGGATGGCCGACAATGCTCTCTGTGATGCTTGTCGTTACGAGGCTCGTCATCATGTTAGATTACAGGGATAAACAATTTTGATTTTAATTCCCCTGTCATAAGCCACTCTTAAGAGGCTCATAATTTCCTGCAGCATTCGCCTGGCCAAGTATGTCAGCAGGATTATTACTGCAGGATTGATATTGTTTAGCCTGTCACGAAGCGGAAAGTAAATTTCTCGAATCAAAGTACGCATTCTGACGTTAATACACTCGCCAATGAACGTCAGGCTAGTGTAACCGTACTGATCCTTCAGCCAAGCTTAAGCACGATCAACGTGCTTGATCTGCCGGAATGAAAACAGGGCACAGTGTTGGGTATCAGGTAAGAAAAAAAAAATGACAATCTGTTCGTTTAATGTCTTGAAGGCGTGAGATGTACATAGTATTTGGTGGTAATAGAATGTATCACTGTATCCTCGCGATGGTGCAAAAAGGAGCAGTATCAAAAATGGGAGAAAAACTCTCGATAGCTAACATAATCTAGGCTCTGGAACAAAGAACGGGCCATAATTTTTTTTTCATCTATGGAGGTGCATGGTTTTTCGCAGCGGACACAACACACTGCAGAGAGGCACAACTTCTACACACACAACAAAACTTAGTCTTGTAACCACACAGGCAGTGTAAAGAGTAGTGAGAACGATGATGAAGACAGGGATTTTTATTACGGTGTTAGGCATGCAGAAAGGCTCGTGTCTCTTTTGACTCGGAAATACAGTGAGCTCTCGCACGCTGTTTAAATTTTCCAAAGCTCCTAAAGCAATAAAATGTGTACAAACAAAGAGATGAGGAAAAAATTATAGTATTGGCTAGAAGTAGTTGAGAGCCATAAAAAAAAGACAGCTGATAGGTGACAAGTCACTCTGAAATTTAAGTGTAAAACTTCTTGTAACCAACTTCTTTAATATTTGCTTCTTTTGAATTCAGCAACTGAATAAATGGAAGAACATATTTATAAATGCACCATCTTCATTTAATAATTTGTGAACACAATGTTAAATTATTCTAAATAAAAAAGACCACTTTTCTACTAGGAAAAAAACATACTGTTTCAAGCTGAAAGAACTGCGAGTTTTTTGCATGCCTTGTACAATACACAGTACATGATACATTCTCCCCTTCAGGCATTATACTGGCTGCTCAAGAACAAACGTATTCGCATACAAATGGTTCTGTGAAATTCAAAGAGGTCCTGCGTAAACCAGTCAGCCGTCCCCAGAACGGGACCGAGAGAATGTCCCTCCCAATTCATAGATTTCATTCTCATTATAACACTAACGAGTGGTGCGCGTAACAAAGGGAGGAGGAAAACGCTGTGCTTTGGTTAATGATCGTCGCGAAATGTTATAATGGTAGGATGAAAGAACGTGCAAGAAAGCCACCTTGCTGGTTATGAAAACTGCTATGTTGTGACAGGACTTGTCGGCAGGCTATATTCTTGAAAGATGGTTTCTCACATCTCTCTGCATGGACATTGTAAAGTTAGGTCTTAACCATGGCCTCCACGGTCAACTACGTCACGCTGCCGGAGCTGATCACGGAGGCGCTGTTGTATCTGATTGCAGAGACCACGACCTAACACGCAGCAGCAAAACTGCGCTGCCCTGGCTTCATGTATTGAGGACCAAAGTTGCCGTTTGGTTCTATCGCTTGATGTGCAGAATAATGTAGTGCTTTGGAAAATGAGCAGCCATAGTACAAGGGATGCCGCTGTCCATATTCTCAAAGGCTATTTTTATATCGTACAAACAGTGCTTCCTGTACGGTAGGAGGCATTAGTGCAGCCATGGGCTCGACGTAATTACGTTGTCTACATATAAAAGAGTGTCTGCGAAGGGAGTAGCTGTACTCAGCCTTCTGTCAAGAACAGTTGCCTAATTTTGCGACGATATCTGGTATGCACCGATATTTTGCAGCCCGATATTTTGACGATGTTTTGTAGCCCACACATTGTGTCTAACACTTGACGCTCCAAGAGTGGCACTGCCTACGCGATCATTTCCCGTATACTTTCAGAGTACAGTACGAGAGTAGTTTGTCTGTGCATGGCCCCTCCTTATCCCAGAGAAACAGTTCAAGCCCTGACACTTGGCTGTAGGTTTCACGCTTACTACGCTTCCTGCACCAAGTTCTCTCGAATATTTCCTCTTATACATGGACCGTTAGAGAGCTGCTTGTGATAATGAACGAAACTAACATATCCGATAAAGCGGGAAAATTTTCGTAGACGACTAAGCACTTACTTACACCTCGACTGTTCGGCCCCGTGACAGCGTGACACGTGAGTTGAGTTCAATGCTTTTTTTTACGGTTTTGTATTTGGCAAACCCAGAGCAGTGAGTCTCGTGGTACCATTCTAAAGGGCCGCAAAAGGAGCTTCGCGAAGAACTATAACCATGTCACATCCGCTAGTAAAGCGTGAGTTAATTTAAGCACCTCGCGGAAAACAGTACTACGCCTCGAGGAAAAGCAGTAATAATATATGAAATGATGACAAATTTATTCGCCCGTAGGAAGCCTTTTGGAGCAAATGAGCATCGCTATTCTACTTTCAGGGCATGAGAAAGGCGATCGTAAGAATGCAAAAGGGGATTTACTCATAGTTATTTACAATAATTTACCCCCAGGTATTTACATAAAACGTTGAAATGAAAAAGTCCTATACGCTCATGTTCATATATGTGTATATATATATATAGTTCCTCCGCTTGAGGAGGTGGTTTCTAATTCCTACTGTGCAAAAAGTGGAAGTGCTAGAGAGAACTAACGCGCGGTGTCTCTTTATTTATTCATATGAGCATACATAAACAAAACTTCTTATGTTATGCTATGTAGTAGAAACTTGTTAGTAATATACTCGAAATATCTGGCGTTTGAAACTTACTAAGGCTTCGCATGGACCAGTTAAGTGGACCCTAACCGCATATCCATCTACACATGTTGTTTTAGAAAATTATGCCCGAAATGTTCACGACATAATTGCATGTACCCCTGCTATATTAAGGACCGTGAATCACTTGCATTCAATAGGTATATCGTGGCCCAGTTTGCTTAACAGAACGAGGGTTTCTACCAACACGCTATTACGACACGGTATAGTATTGTCCCCTTTATTACATCCATATTTGAGCTCTGGCTCTGGCACCGGCTCACGCATTCATTGATGGCATTCGTTGGAACAGCGCAACAAAACGACCGTGAAGGAGAGCTTCGGTCGTTCAATTTCTCATTGAGTTACGGTGGCTAATGTATCCCTTGGATTATTACGAGCACACTTGTGTAAGACATTGAGAAAATCTCCGCGAAAGTCTTCACGTTATCAAAACGGTCTGACAAGAAATCGGCAACACATAAGCATCTGAGCTACTTTAGTCAGATTGTAGATTTCATGGTACGGCTTCCCCGTAAAAGGAAGGATGCATTTCTTAGGAGGAGCAGCCCGAATACTAGCGTGCCTAAGCAGAGGCGCTTTATTTCCCTTCCAATCAGGAGAAATTGTACGGGCCTCTGCCACATTACTTCAATGTTTTCAATTGTGGAAATAAAAGTCACCGGTTGATGCAGTAATTGGTGTAACACTGAGTTGTGCTGAAGCTTCCCTAATGTTTCTTTACCAGGTTTTGAAGTTGCGGTTGTCTCATGCTAAAAGCTTGATTCCAATGCAATGCTTGCGGTATTCAATTACGACGCAGAGTGATGGAGTCTCTATATTACTTATTACAACAGCATCAGTGAGGACAGATTTTATCCTACGTCTCAGAAAGCAACTTTGCTGTATTCATATCGTTCCTTTCGAAACAATCGGTTCAAGTAAAACCATGCCTGTGCTACCTTGTTAAACCTTGAGTACTTCCTTCTAGCAAGAAATAGTAGTCAGCCTTAGCATCAAACCTAATAATGAAAACCTGACACCTTGAAAGTTTAGATGTCTTTAATAGCCGCTTATTACTCGCATTAGCTTGCTGGTTCATTTGAGCGGTGTGAACAACTGAATAATTCAGTGACTAGAGATGACGAAGGGCTCAAGTGTTCAAGTGGAATGCAAAAGTATCCATCTCTTTGGCCATTAGTACAGTCCAGAACTATGCCGCCAATACTACGTGGGCCATCGCCTTATTTTGTATGTCGTATTTCTTTATATCCGTTACTTGATGAAACAACAAATCAATATAGGTACAATCTGGTGACTCAGTTCTGTGAGGCTTTTCATTTCGTCGTTCCAGATCCACGAATGCACATAGAACGAGACGTCTCCAAAACTGACCATTGGCAACTTTCTTATTTTTTTTTAGTTTTTTATGTGGCATTTTTTCTGTTTCATGTCACGCAAGGTCGCCCGTAACATGCAGTGAACTGTACACTATGAAAGCTCAGTAGAGCAATCTTGCATGTTTTACATTTTTTTCGTTTCTTTCAAAAAGAAAATCGTCGAAAAAGTGAGAAGAAATCAGGAAATAGCGCTACATAATAAAGCTACATTTCTACAGCCAAGCGGAAATTTGCGATCAGAACCAAGCACACGGCCGGCTTCGCTGTGAAGGCTTCCAGCTGCGGCTCGTTTCCCAGCGCGACCGGCGAGAAATGGGGCACGTAAGAAGTCGATTGGTACGCTGGACGCGTGGAACACTATCGTTAAGCTCAATGGACCGGATGAACCAGAACGTGTCTCTCGGTCGATAAAAAGCGCCATTCGAAACGCATTTGAAGAAATACTGTGCGAAGTCGTGCTACGACATTGGTATACGGGCAGCATTCGACTGAGCGCAAACCAGTGCGTTCGAGCCAAACTGTAGCTCCTTGGTCGTACACCTCGTGAATTCATAACAATCCCCAATGTTGTTTTAGTCCATGTTGGCCTAAGGGGTAAGCATCATCTTATTTTTAGTCTTTATAAGAATCAGCAGCGCCAAAGAAATATTAAAGAAAAGTGCACGTTAAGAGAACTACAATATTGTTCACCATATTTTTGACACCGCGTAAAACCTATTCCAAGGTCTCGAAGCATCCTTCAAGGCTAAAGGTTATGATTGATGTCTATACTTCAAAATAATAGGACCAGACAAAGCAATTCCCTGAAGTCAAAATCACAGAAGTATCCCGGATGCGTACAGGTGTGCAAAAGAAACAGAAAGAAAAATGAAAAGCTGTTTGGCTCAATTTTTACAATAATGAAGAAAAAGCTCTGATCATCGTTTCTCTTTCGAGCCAACTGACTTTCTGTACAAGAATTGCAAAAAGAAGAAGTAAAAAAACACACACGAACGTTTCATATTAACAGTACGGAACTTGACAGTGTGGAAGCTATGTGTCATGTTTGTCACTGGAAAAACAATTTATCAAGGCGTAAAACATCGAGTTTTGATTCGCATGCCTTGATGTCAGTTGGGATTATTCGAATGACTGTAAGCTTAAACAGGAGACATATGCCAGAGACATATGTTCATGTCTCGAAACAGGAACACTCACGTTGGACAATACAAGCACACAAGTACAGTATTTTGGCAAGCAAAGTTAACAAAGCTCGCGCAGACTAACGAGTAACAAGCTTGAAGTCACAAATTGAAATGGTAGCAGGGACACAGTATGTATCGCTAGGGGCGGGGGGTATGTACCAACATTGCTGAGAACAATCAGTTCAAGAACACAGATTACGCCAAAAGCAAAAGAAAAGGTAACCTAGTTTTTTGAGGTTTCAGGTGTTTTAAAACTCTATTGTAATCAATTCTAAGAACGCTAGCGCAGGGAGTCATAACGTTCTTTCAAATGATGGACGATTGAACAGAAAATTGGTAGGGAAGATTAGAAATTTGTGGTACTGAAACCAGTGTCGGTATAGTTCTCAGTTATGGCACGCTGTAGTGTTAGACATCAAGCCTTTGATTTTATTACGGCGTCGTACTGAGACATCATTAGGTTATGTAGTAATCTCCCGTAGCGCTTAACTACCGAATGCTCGCAATGATGCCAGAGCTTTTAAATATATGCGTACTCTTGGCTTTCCTACTCCTGATAACCAGATAATGCAATTGTGTCTGTTGGATAAAAAATACGGTATTACACTGGTTTTTCACCCTAAACCAAGCGTATTTCAGCGTCTTTAGGATAGTCTTGTGTTGAGAAATCCATTCTGAACATAATGAGTGGAAAATTTTGACACATAGTTAATAATGCTCTCATAACGTATTTGTTTGTTTTGGTAGGTTTTATTAGCATTTGTACTGAAATATCATTGAAACTAAAGCAACAATCGCTGACCTATTACTTTGAGAGAGTAATGTGTCCCTTTTTATAATGTTTTGTGAGGAATATATAAGAAACATTGCATCTGTAATTAGCAAGTCAATGGGGCTACTGACTTAATTGCATGCCGATGATTCTTGCTAATTATGTGCGCGTGACACGAATTAATACAACACATAACCTGCTTGCAGAGCTGATGCAATATCAGCAGACACGTTCCCAGTTCTCTGAAGGATGCCTTTAGATTATACTTTAATAATCGATATGATAAGAAGCATGGTTTCTCATTTTCTGTGACGAGTGCAAGATCAACTATCTTTTCATGGTTTTTCTTGATCGTTTTTTCAAGTTTCATTCTTCAAATTAACAACAGCTATGAGTTTATTAACACTGCGATATATGTGAATTTTTGTTTGACCTGTGCGAGGCTGAAATCGTAGCACTTAAGGAATTAAAGAGGTTATTCAAGCATTTACTTGGTGATGCGAGTGTTATGTCATGTGGCGTCAGCATATATCTGTGCATCACACGGTCCAAATATAGAGACGGCAAAGTAACCACAGTATGCGTCAATATAATACGCATGCACGGGAATACAAAAACAATGCTCATGTGAATATTTAGCTGGTTTGAAGTTCCTAAACTTCGCAATTTTGATTGAAGTGAGGCCTTTCGAACCAAGGCAGTAACTTTCGTTACATATACAATGCTGTCATTACCATAGGTGATGCTTATAATGCAAGTTTATTTAGATTGGATAGAATTACTCTTTTAAGTTGTGCCTGTTCTGGACCTGATTTTAAGAAAAGTGAAAAATCTACAGAAGGTTGTGAGTAATCATTAGCACATTTTCGGAGAAGTAAGCTTAACCTATGAATTTTCAATGTTTTATAAATATACCTAACTATTGTCCCACACGACGCCTTTATATTGGCCTGCGAAGTTTCTCTCGGGTTCTTTAGCTTTTGTATAGATGCGAAAGTCATTTGAAAGAAGTATCAAATTCTCACTGCAAAGCTCGCACATTTTTAGGTGATGTAACGGAACCGTACAAATTGATTACGTTTGCCTCGATGTGTGTCGTCACGGTTATTTGCCTCACGTAACTCCGCCTTCTTTCTTGGGCTCAAAGAGAAACGAGTCTCGCACGCACTGTTTGCAAGAAATTACCATTAAAGGCTGATTCCATTAAACATTCCCGTGCAATCCTCCGAGAACCACACAGAACGCCAGGACCCGAGGCGCTTAATTCCATTAAGTCTGACAGTGTCGCCGGGCTCTCTATAGTTTGCATTGAGGAGCGTGAGCTCTTTGATGCACCCGAAAGCGGAGCTTAGTGGCTGGCTGCGAGAATACAGCTAATGTGCCGATGATAAAAGCATCTAGAGAGCGAGAAAGAATGCCACCACACAGACACGAAAAGGGGCAATCCCTTGCGAGACACCTTCTCGGCAAAACAAGGGCACTAGCCATATTATAATAGCGCATGGCCTGAAAAGCCTTAATTAGGCTTAGTCGCGCGCGCGAATCATGAGGCTCACACGCCCGCGCGCCCGATTATCGATTCCGTCAAAGCGTCTTACGGGTTTCGCATTATGTATATGCCATAGGAATCACCGCGTCGTCGTCGTCGTCGTGTTCTGGCATTATTTTTCGAAAAGTTGCACCGCGCGGACTATGCATCATGGCGACGTGATTCGCGTTTAAGCGCCAAGCATGGGCCTCGCACGAGCAGTAGCGCTGGGTGAAAGTTGGGTCATTACCCTAGCTTCATGATACTTTAGAGTCTAACGTTATATTTAGTGCGGATACTTCTGATTTTCCGATCACTTGTATAACCAGGCGTTCAATCCATAAACGACGTTGAAAACAGGTAATAACATCGTTTTTTTTTGTTTGAACTGCTCCCCCAAACTCAGCTTTAGTCAAACTTCGTGGTTTTCTTGAGCGTTAGGATGCTTGTCAATAGAAACGAAATAAACGAGAGGGAGTGGGAACAATATTACGCCGTACCTGTTCTCTGCAAGTTTGTCTCGTAAATTGACCGAAAAGTATTCAGGAACAATTTGAAGTAATCCAGAGGGCGGTTTCAGTTTCCTATAAAATCCAAGGCAAGACACACCTCTCGGTGCTTGTTTTTCAGTCCTTTCCCGGGAAATTATTCGCGCAACCGCACAAGTCAGGCGTCTATATATCAGGGCGTTCTGAGAACCAAGTACTGACAGGAAGCAAATTGTAAGCAGCCTAATGGTTTCGGGTGTTTGTAGAAGCGCAACGGCTACTTTTGTGTCTGACGGTGTCCCGTGAGGCTTCCACTGATCGAAGCCTTTTCGACTGAATTCAGCAATTTGTGTATACTACATCACTGGCCCGGGTAATGCCGACCACACGAAATGCGGGCACGTGAGGTTGGCTATGCTTCATTTTTTTGGGCTGAGATGAAAGCACCGCGTGGTTGGCGGGGTGGAAGAGAAGGAGCGAGAGGCGGATGGTCGGAACTAGCCGACGCAAGGCTTGGCTGCGGCTTCGGCTGCTGTTGCGGCTTGCTGCTCCTAACGCAGCTCAGCTAGCAGCACTGGGCGGTAGGCTCACGCATGCGCAGTTGGGGATGGGGAACGGCCCCTGTTCACAACCACCTTGGGCGAGCCGTTCTGGAGTGATTCTGCTGGTCCATTAATCAGAGTGTGTGCGCCGTCCTGCGAACGAAGGGCAAAAGAAAAAAAAAACAGTTAGCGGACACTTGAAACCAACAGATTTTTTTTTTTGTGTGTAGGCAGATATTTTGGTTAACGTCCGTTTAGGGGCAACGTCTTAGACGTGTGCGAAACTTCCACATGAAATGTTTGGAATGGATTTCCAATATAAAAGCGGGTGATTGTATTGTTTTTTACCATTTAAATTATAGTGCCCTCGTTGGGGTGAAAAAATAAAAAATGCGAAAAAATAACAGGCTACGGTCACACGACAAATATCGAAGGTGCGTGTTTCTTGTCTATGCCATCTATTCACGCTTATTTTGTCCTAACAAGAGTGATATAACGGAGAGTATGAAATCTTCTAGAGAGAAAGAGAGATAAATATGGGAGGTGCCACCTACTGCTCTTACGTGCTCGTTGTTGAAGTATACTTTGATGCAAAACTACAGGCACTGCGAGGTTTTCAAGTGAGTGTTTCGGGCCCTCTCATATTTCGCATCTGAAGAAAGTGAAGTTCACTTTAAAAGAAATAAAGTATTTAGAGAGTGTTTCTGCTACACAACAATAATTGTCGTCTTCTTGGAGTACTTTTCTTGCGCTATCACCACGGTTCCGGTATAGTTCGCGGTCGTGAACGGCGCACGCATTATCAGTGTGAAATGGAATTCCCGACCGGAAAGGGGCCAGTACTGGTTTTCAAGAAAGAAAACGCTTGCAAGTCAGATGACGATTATTGTTGTGTAGCATATCTACTCCCCGAATACTCCATTTTTTCTTTCAGTGTGCGCGTAGACGGGTGTAATAAGTCAACAAATGTCAAGGGGCAAGTGGGCATGAAGATGAGATGTTTTTGTCCTCCATTAATGGGGGCCCTGCTCACGTCTACGACAACAGCAGTATTAAGGCTGATCAACCACTCCCTGCTCTGGTGGAATGAATAGTTCGTGGCACTTAATCTTGAATACTTCAAATTTGGAGCCTACTCGGGTATTTATAGCCCCATTTGTGTTCCGCACTGAATCTCTGGCGGCAATTCAAAGAACTTAAACGGAGAAGGAGAAGAGAAGCAGCACATCACAACCACAGTTATCACTGTACACACAAGAGCTGCGCATTCTTAGTACATTACTGACGTATCCATGTCTTACTCAGAACCAGAAAACTTTACACCTACCCATTTCTTGCACGCCAAGCGACTGACGGCGTTTTTTGACTTACAAACTGCAGCCGTCCATGGTGCCTATTTTCCATACTCAGCTGCTTACAACACACATACAGCGAGAAAAGATGAAAAACGTCGTCTATAATAACTGGTGCAAGAAATTTTGATTCATTCTTTGAAGTGCTCTCAATAAACCAGTGGTAGACATTGCTGGTACTACCGAAGGCGTTGTATTCTTATACAACGCGATGATTCTATGCACCGACTGTGTTGCTAACTCGCGTGTTCTTCAGAACATTACGAGAAACGGCAGAAAACTGGTTGAACTGAATGTGCCACGGATTTACAATTCAATACCCAGAATCTCAATCTATATAGTGAAGAAGCCTTTCTTTATTTTATCTCGGTTTAAAACAGTTTAGAGCACAACTTCTAATGCAATATCTACAAATGTGTTCACTGCTTTTGATGGACAACGTTTGAAAGTATGAAAAAAATGAAAAAAATATTGAAAAAAAGAATTATCCCGCTCTAAAAAACCTGCGCGCCGCGCGTACATTATTACCATCACCTATTATAATATAATAAAGAAGAGGGATCCCATAAAAATAATTTGAAATGCTAGAATAATGAATATACATGCGGAAATGTGCCGCTGTATGCCGTTATTAAGAAAAAAAAGCGCTTTCTGGATCTTGTCCGTCCCGTTTAACTTAAAGATGCAGCGAGAAACTGTTTCACAATGCCAAAATAAGCACACCAAAATGCCCTTTTGTAATTCGCTAGTTACAAATTGAAAAAAAAACAATTGTTAGAATGATCTAACACCTACTCTTAATCCAGCCGCAAGAAAGGGCAAAAAATTACACTTCACCCTTTTCTTGCGAATAGACCATTAACGTAGATAAAAAAGTTAGCGACAGAACCAAAAAGTAGGCCACGTATAGAGAACTTGTGCTATTGTACGAACATATGCTGTAACTTTAGTTTGGGCTGGTGAAGTGTAATCGACTTTTACGTCTCGTGAATTCTGGGCTTGAAAGAAGCGCAGTGACATTACTGCTCATTGAAGTGAAGTACGCGAGAATTTTCCACAAACAAAAAGAGAAAGCTACAGAGAGAAATAAAGAAGAGAGCAAAATACAGCGTATCAGAAATCAGATTAAGACGTCGTGAGCGAACTTCAAATCATAAATATCCTCTCCGCACTAGATCAGGGCAAGCCGCCGTTATGTGCCCTTGCGGCATGTGTACCTTGGATCCGTGGTGCTCTCCGTGATGCTGAAAAAGTGAAGAGCGCCGTACGTCGGGGCTTCCGCTCCGGCTTCCGGCTCTGCTTCCAGCCCTACTTCCGACCCTGCTTCCTGTTAAAAAGGAAGTGAAAAAAGTATATAAAGAAACTCGCTTTAAGCGCACAGGCACGCCACATATAACTGCACAGCACTGTCTCTCGGCTTACTAGCAATTTTTATGAACAAAAATATAAAAATCTGCCCGTACGCTTTCAAAAGGCTTTACACACTGCTCTTCAGTAAATCAGTTTTTTTTTTCTTCTCTCGCGTTATGGCAACGCTGTTATATCCTGCACGTTCGTGAGACCGCGCAGGAGTGGTAGGAAGGATTCAAGTTCTGGGCGCTGAATACCCGTCACGCACAGCAATGGCGTGCCATGTCTGACCGCCAATGTAACAGGCACTCTAAAGCAACGTAACCCAACGTAACGTAACTTGTTACCACAACGCTCGTTCTTGCATACGGTGGCAGTATGTTTCGGACGAGATAAATGTATTGAACAGACTTTCTCCTCTTGCAGTCGGCAGATACTAAAATATGGTTGCTGCGCTAGCGCAAACTAGATTGGCGCTCTGGAAAACACGCAAAAAAAGGTAAACTCGGATATTGCGTGCCCTTCTTACAGGAATTACTTTGCGTGCAGGCCTCGTATATTGTTAGATGTTCAAGTGCAGTGGTTTGCATGAGTTTGAGATGGCGACACTAGATCAAGAAAAATAACGAGAAAAAATTGAAGGAAAAAGCCCAGAAAAAAAGATATTGTCAACTTCGTAAATGTTATCTTTCTTCTTTTTGCTGATAAATCAATACAATTTTATCAAACTACCCGGTATATGTGTTCAAGAGAATTCGTCGACAAGAAAAAAATAACTTTGGTGTGTAGCCTACATAACTGGGCCGGCTGGTGCAGTATATAAACTATTTCACAATTAGGTTTCTGTGCCACCATGTTGTGCTATAGTCTTGCCGATTTCTTGTATTAAACTGAAGGAACAGTGCTGTGGTAGACGCATACATGAAAACGGTTAGCGTAATGCATTCGGTGTGTCATGACCTTCTTAACTCATGACACCGTATACAAAATCCAAATCACTAAAATTATTTTAACATACCAAAGTGGCGACGTTCTTGTGTATTATACACTATCGTATATAGCTCAAAATGGCAATCCATAGCTCAGACGAGGGAGTAACATAGCGCGATAACTTCGTTTGTATCTCGCCTTTCCTTTCGTTTTTCGCTAGTCTGATTGCTGGATTCTAGTGACAACGGCATCATTTTCCATAGTATGTTGACTATTACGATCACTTATTCATAATAATTTTGACATTTCGCTGTAAAAATGGCCATTAAGTGTGGCATGTCGGCTCTTACGTCAGCGTCCGAATCAAAATTGCGATAGCAGATCACAAACTGAAGACGCTGACAACGAATGTACGTGGTTACACAGCCCCGAAAATAAGACACATATCATGAGGACTAAAACGTCAATAGTGTTTGTCCGCTTGATTCTCAGATAGGACGAAGGAATTGTACGATTCACCTTAACCTTGAGTGCAAACTATAACCTCAGCTTCCACGACGTGCCGAGCATTCATGTCAAGAGCTTTGTGTAAGCATTTCAGAGTTTAAGACTGACATGCTTACACAATGCGCTTTCTATTTCAAATGCAGCGTACATGATTGCCAGCTGTATTTCCTTTTATTTTTACGGCCGCGATGAAGAGGATATGCGTTCTGTTGCTTGACTGTAGCAAGAACTCACACATAAATTAAGACTCGACCAGAATATTCACTTGCTAGACTCGGAATAAACGTTCTCATGTTCGAAAAGGCTAGACCTATGGCGATCTTGGATATAAGGAACAAATAAAAACGCAACGTTTGTTTTGTAAGACACAGATGTGTCTCGTGATCTGATCAAGCAGACTGTCCCGTCGTTTCAGCCATACGGTGCAGAAAGCCTATCTCCCGTATTCTAGAACGTCCCTTCACTCAACGCTTCACCTTCACAAGAGAAAGCCGATGGGAGCGCCGTCTGTAGGCACGGCAAGTCACTGCATATCAGCGATATTCTGCTGCGATTCTTGAGTGGCGCAGCATCATTTTCAGCCGAGCAGCGGCACAGTGCTCAACTCTGTCAAGTGAAGGGTGAAAGTCGAGTCGAGGAGCGTTTCTGAATACGGGGGTACGCCTTCTAGTTTCCTTTTGGACTGGAGACAAGGTAGGATGTGCTGTGTAATGGGTAGTTTTGTCTCTTTCTGTCTTGAACAGTTGATGTAGTTTTTTGGCTCAAAACTTTATAATAACCCTTAAGGTCGGACGCTTGACCGCCTTGCTTCAGCATGTCAGCCATCACACTCTCATTCGTTGCCATATATTCAATCAATACCACTAAGGAGTCACATTATTTGCCTATTTCCAGTTTACGTCACGCAAAACGTGATCTCCAAGGTGTATATCGACCAACCGCGTTGCTCTTTTAAGCTTGACTGCTGACCTTACTGGCGTGGGGTAGAACACCAGCCGTAACAGTCGAACTTTGATAGATGTAAAAAGTTATAGAGGCCCGTGTGCTTAGATATAAATCCACGTTAGAGAACTCCAGATAACCGCACTTTTCTGAGCCCTCCACTATCTCATCTACCATACCCATATCGTGGTTTTGGGACTTATAAAGCCACCATATATTTTAATTGTTGCTGAAGTACTGTCGCGATAAATACGAGCTCAAACACGCGAACGCACGGTAGATAGCCTCAAAAACAAGAAAACGTGATACGTGGATGGCGTTGTCGAAACCAGAGGGGAAAGGATGGCGCTTTTCCACTGACTGTAGGCACTCCCGCATGATTGCTGCTAGGAAACAGCTGTTGCGCGCCATTGGCTGCTATATAGCTACGATAACACGAAGAGAAAATGCAACAGAGACGAAATAAGCGGAATATGCGCATCAAAACACTCAGCGAACACCACGTAGATATTAGAAAAACATGGCCTGTGCATAACTGCAGGCTATGTAACTCTTTGTAACTTCATAGCCTGACGGGTCATTGGTGTTGGCCGTGCGTGTTAAATTCAGCTCGTATCACAGCTAGCAGCCACTGACACGCTATAAGCGGCATTTCGCAGCAACGACATCGAAGCGGCAGCGTCTAGTGCTAGCTTAAGCGCGGCGCCCTTTCCACTTCATTTTGTACAGCGGCCGCTGCGGATCGTCCGATGCACGGTTTGAGGCTATTCGACACGTGCGCGCGCGTTCGAAGTCGTATTGCTCGCGATAGTACTATCGGCATCAAATGCAACGGGAACATTGAAGAGCGTCGCACAAGTCTTATCAATGGCATAGTGCGCGCCGTCGACCAGTCATTGTCAAAGACAGGCCCGCACATCCGGTGTGGCAGCCCTGCACGATGGCCCTATAGTGCAATATTTCTGCTTTTATTCCAGCTGTGCTATTAGAAAGGAAGAAAATTAAAAAAAAAGAGCTCAGAAGTTAGACTAGTGCAGCCGAAGGCGAGTATTGTAGCACGGTTTGTCAAAAGCAACACTGCTATCAACGCCAAATGAATCACAAATAGTGTCACGCAGGGAGCAGCTTGTAACCAAATGATTCTAGATAGAGGCACTCATGAAGTTTCACAATCTGGCGCCGCAATCATGCTTTCGATCGACAAACCTATATTGCGGGCAGTCGCGATGGTCGCCTGCATGCGTATGCCAATTGATTTAGGTCGTTTAAGTTGCGGCGCTCGGTATTTACTGCAGCAGTGCAGTGCTTTCACCGTCTGGGCATGATACAAGAAAGGGTGAATCTGACTAACCTTTATTATGACCATTAAAATTAACTGATGACTCAAGTCGCAATAGTGAAGCCATCTAAATATTATTAAATTCGGAAACGAAGGTGCACCTAAGCTGAAACGCATATCACAATAAAGAAACGAATAAAAAAGAACTGGTCAACTTTCAAAATTTCTTTATAACAGTTGAGAACAGAAATGTGCAAAAAATAAGCATCGTGTTCATGAATGCTCTTCAGCGAGACTTCGCCGAGGAGAAGGCGCGAGTGTTCACGCGGGAAAAATTATTTGACCCTTGAGTTTATTACTTAGTGAATTCGCCTGCAGCTGCCACAACGGCGCCTATTCTTCGGGGAAGACTGTCGAAGAGCCGTGTCACAAGATCACTTGCGCGTAGACGCTCCCATTCCTCCTTTAAGGCAGCCCACAGTGCGTCTTCAGAGCCGCGCTTGCTTGGCTGCCGCAAGAGTGCCTTCTTCACTGCGCCCCACACATTCTCACATATGTTCATGTCGGCGCCTTGTGGAGGCCACTCCAACAGCATCACTCCCAGCCAGCTGTTCCAGCAAGCGTACTGTTGATTTGGCCATGTGGATGCGGCTGCGGTCTTGTTGGAATAAGTACAACCCGTCACAGAACGCTCCGTTGAGAGCATAGGGCACCACGATTTTTTCGATCAAATCAAAGTAGCTGCAGCATTGAACCTGTCCTCTGTGCGAACTAGTGGTCCAAGGCCTTCCTTGGACAACACACCCCACATGCTGACGGAGCAGCGGCCGCTGTTTGCTACGCGCTGTAGGTTCCGGGCCTCGAATGTGCAGAAGGAATGTAAACCGTTTTTTCGAGCCATTCTGCCAATTTAGTCATCATCAAAGATTGCAAAGGTAGCTGGATTAATAACAACGCGATAACAGCGCACTGTCGAGTTCAACGCCTAGATTCCTAGGCGTTGAACTCGACAGTAACTTGAAATACCACCGACATGTTGCATATATTAGGAAAAAAATGACGTATGGCATTCGACTACTGAATAACTCTCGTCTTTATTTCAATCCATCAATACTTATGTCACTGTATTTTTCTTTCGTTCATTCGCACATTTCTTACTGTAATACTTCATGGGGCAACACATACACCACTCATCTTACTTCAGCTCAGACAATTCAAAACCAAGCGATAAGAATTCTCACGTCAAGCCCATATCTCTCTAACGCTAAGTCCCTACTTCACAAAAACAATATATTAACTGTATCTGAGCTAGTTAAATA